AAAAACAGTAATAATGTAAACGTTAATATTTTCGTTAAATAAATTCGAATAATTTAGCAACACAATCTTTTAAATTAGTATATACTTCATTCTATTTCTGAAACATGTTGGCAAATGAACACGACTTCGAATTGTCAGGTGTAAATAATTAATGGAATAGAAGGTTATAATCTATATAAACTTAGAAAAACTCTTGTGCAATTAATATATTTTCAATGAAATTTAAGTTATTTTCTTTTAGATCGACAATTTCATGAAGAGATTTGGAAAGAATCCCATTGGAATATCCGTTGGAGGATTCTTTTATATTAAGAGAAATTTCGTCATAAGAGTAAGTATTTAGAATCACTGGTAAAGGTAGTTGCAGAGCGTTACAAAAACTAATATTTTGTAGAAAATTGTAAGAATTCAATTGTGTTTAATTATAATTTCAGGTAATTAGCGGCTTATACTCCACATTATCTTCGTTTATTCAAATTAGTGGTGTATTGGAACGTGAAAACAAATGTATTGTTACGCACAGAAACCACACAAGAGCTGTACATAATTCGAGTATTATATTCTAACTAAGAAAATTTTAAAACTATTTGCCAATTCTTTTGTAATTATTGAATATATGAAAAATCTGATTTGTATATGAAACGTTGCATTGAATTATTACTTTCGAAGTTAGTTAAAGTGAAGCTCCCTGTCATGCTTTTTTTTGTGATTTTTTACAAAATACATTATACCATTATATTTACATTGGTTGTCAATAGAAAAATTAAGCTGTAGAACACATTGTTTGTTCGATGATTTTCAAGTTCTGTTAAAATTCCAATGTTTAATGAAAACTGAAGTAAAACGACGCTCAACACTTGAAAATTTTTCGAAAAGTTTAATTTATTTTATATTTTCCAGTAGAAATTGATTTTTTGACATTAGAAATGTCTCAATTCGAGATGTCTAGAATGATAGATTACAATTTGTTGAATAAACTCTGGTGGATATACAAACAGAATATCAACATTCATACAGAAAAATAATTTCATTTGAAATAGAAAACGTTTACTCAGACAGGCGGTTAATAAAATTACAGAAATTTAGTCTTCTAGGTTGACCATAAGACATGATATGACCAGCAATTATTCAATGTGATGTTGTGACAATGTTCGTCTGCAATTTGTAATCATACTTTTAATTTATTTTATTTAAAATACAAGCTTTCTATTACAAATTAGTGGTGTTATGCTCCTGTAAATTATAGTTTAATTAACAGTAGAGTCGCGCCAGTCATCTCCTTTCAGGGAAAACTTTTTATTTGAAATAATGTGATTTTCGGTTTTCATCGGAAGTTCTAATATAATTAATTTGACTTCTTGCCCCTAAACTTTTTATAACTGTTTAATTTTATTAATTTAACAATGTTTTCGAGAATTAGGAAGGTTTGAATATGTCCGTTAATAAAAAATCAATTGAAAGTATCTGTTAATAATTTCTTTGTTTTGTATGCGGACAAACAAACTCTATAACACTTACTACAATATTTTAAACATGATTTAAGTTTTATTTGTAATAATTAACTTTTTAGTTTCGTTTGGCTCATCCTCCAAATCCTTCGCATCTTCTACAATGATATTTACTCATTGTTATTACAATGTTTAAAAAATACAGTTAAACCTCCCAAGAATGTCCACGGAAGATATGCCCGTTGTTAAATGGTTATTTGGTAGGCGTTTCAAACAAAT